CCTACTTTGAACACCTTCAAGAGCAAATTGGAAGCTTATCTTGCTGGGATCGTATGACCCCACCTGACTTCCTGCCCTTTGGGCGGGGGGCTGCACTCGATGACCTTCTGAGGTCCCTTCCAGCCCTAATGTCTGTGAACTCTGTTAAATCTGTGAATTGCTGGTGGCAACCACTCAAAACTAGTTCTCACAAAGATTTTTGTAGCTCCCCCAAAACTTGAAAATCTAAAGCAAAACTGTCAAATTTTTAGTATTAGGGTTTGCAACCTACAGCACATGGATATGGGTTACAAAGATGTCATTGTCATCCAGCCTGTGGCAGAGTTTTCCTTGTCAATCTTATGGCTCCTGCACCCCTCATGGGAGACCTTTCTGCAGTGTGGCCAGAAGCCAACGGGTTTTTGTAGTACCCTACCTGGCCCAGTCAGTTGGTGACAGGGAGTTCATGGTGTCAGCACCTGTAGTAGTAGGTACTAGAGACTGGTTGCTGCACTGATGCCTCCCCACACTATAACGGTGTCTCTCTTGTGGTAGGGGTCAGTGAAGCTAATGAGGAGACTGCGGACAAGTCTCTGTCAGTGGTGTGTCAGAGAGGAAAATAAAGGGGAAGGGGGAAAATCACCTGTTGGGGTGGTATTCATGGTCTGCTGTTAAAAGGTTGCTTACTGCTGTTTTACAGTATGAAAGATTTGTTGTGAAGAACTCCATGTTTTAGGAGCAAAACTTTCTAAAATTACTGAAAGCCTTGGTCCCACAAAAAAAGGAGGATGCAAACCTGACATTTCTAGCTCAGTTTCTACATCCTATTTTAATCAAACTAATTCCCTAGAAATGTGGCCATAAATGTCTGAATTGGCTGAGGGTCACATATGACACAAATTAGGTTGATTAATTTAACTTGTGAAATATGTGTGTTCAAAACAGAGAGAGAGAGAGGGGGAGAGAGAGAGAGAGAGAGAGAGAGAGAGAGAGAAAGTGAGTGAGTGAGTGAATTAGAAATATAATGGAGAGCCTGTCAAGACCTTAACTCCAGGGAAATTCTGATTAAAATATACCCATCCATCTATATTTATTCACATTTCCTACCTCCATACCTTTATATTTGCATAAAACATTAATAAGAATTCTGTACATTAAATTATTTTATTATTAATTTATGAACAATCATAAAACCAACCATTTAATAAGTGATGTACTACTGCATTTTATCTTAGCTTCCTTTTTTAAAATACACCTGCATACTTAGAAAAGTGCACATAAAATCCTAAATATAGACAAAATACTACTTGATCCTGGCATCCTGACAAACAGTCACTCTTTAGGGATACTATACACTGAGACAAGCAGCACATCATACAGAAAAACCCTGTTGTTCATGGCACAGGCACCATTTTAATTGTCCTAGGGCATAAGAAGAGTTAACTGAACATGCAAAATACAAAACTGACATGAAATGTATTATATGTACTTATGCACTCTTTCAATAAGTTCTACGTTTTTGAACTGCAGAAGCAATGCCTGAATGAATTAGGTATCTAAAAATCATGGGTAGATTTTTAATTGAAAGGAACTAGAACAAACAAAACTGTAGAGTTGAGTGATGTTAAAAGAATAGGGAATGCAAAGTTCTTAGAATAATCTTTATGTAAAAAGACTGTCATACTTTTGATGCTCTGTTATTCTTAGACGTTTGCTATATTAAATGTACCAGTGTCCTTTTGCTTCAATATACTTCATTTTACTTAGTAATGTGCAACTGTTACACTTAATAAGGACATTTAACTTGTCTTACAGGGTAAATAGATGACAATGAATGCTGAATAAAATTGTAAGTGGAATAATTGCCTTGGTGTACAGTATTTCTCTTACCTGGACACCATCAGACGCAGGAATGTAACTTGCCCTTTTAAACGTGTCTGTAACATTTCTGAGGATTTCCACAGAAATAAGAAGATCCCCTGCATAAAAGTTTTTCCTCTGAGTTAAATCCAACAGAGTCTTTGTGACCTGGGACATTCCATCACCAGCCAGCATCCTTTGTCCCTTGGCAAGGTGCTCTTTAATCTGTGACAATCAGAAGAGTGAAGTAAATATCAGAACCTACTTTACTGCACCTAAAAATCTCTGAACCAAAATAAACAGAACACATTCTAAGGAGTATTAGAAATCCACAGGTCAGCTGTGCAATAATAAAGAAGTCTTATTTGACTTATTTTAAGAAGTCTTAAATGACTTTACAATAGGATATGGTAATTAATGCACAATTTATCATAGAGTTAGAGAGTTTAATGATAAAATGGATCATAAATCATTTAATCTTATTTCTATTATTTCATTCATTTACCCATACATTGAATCTGATAACTTCTCAACAACTGTTCTCACACAAATACGCTGGGTTGGGTTGCAAACACAGCCTGCTGTCCACAGTACTGTGAACATCCAGTCTTTTCCCAGAAAAGCAGCTGTAAAGTCATTGTGTTTAATACAGAAACCAAATTTATATAATCATAGAAAATTAGGGTTAGAAGGAAACTCAGGAGGTCATCTACTCCAATCCCTTGCTCAAAGCAGGACAATCCCCAAGAGAAGCTGTATAGGAATAAGGGCCAAATTAGTCCAGGCTGCCTTTTTAAAATAAGTTTAAAATAATGTAGGATATTCTCCACCTATCCCAGTCCACTTATGTTGACCATTTTGAAAATGAAAGGACATGAACCATTCATTGATCCTCTTGTTCACTTTAAGTAAATTGGCATCCCTGCAATTTTGGAATAATACTCATGTTCAGGAAGTGTGAGGAAATATGAACAAGAATCAAGGAGCAGAAGGCTTATTTTTAACTTATCTCCCCCTGCAGTTCTATGCCAGGCCACTGACAAATATAACTTGTGATAGGGACGCAGAGGAAAGAAATTTCTTTCGTCAGAAGGGAACAGTTTGTCAAAGTGGAACTTGTGGATTTCAATTATTCCTAAACCCCAACTCAGTATATAAATAGGATGTAAAGCATATCACAAGGGCAGATGTCATAATGCCAGCATATGCTGAAAAAAGAATGAAGAGGTTTAAGAAACCTGCTCTTTGTTGTATATAAAAGTATAAATTTCTCTGCATCAAAGTTCACCAGACAGACCTTCATTCTAACCAAAGTAGCTACAGAGTCAACTCTATAGCCAGCAGCTATAGTGTGTGGCATCTTCTCTGAAAATGTACTTTCACCTCTGTTTTATCTTGGCCTGATTTTCAACATCCAAAGAGAAGGATGACTGATATGATGTGGTGATGCTTTTATTTTTTGCTTTTGTTTAATTACAAAAAAGTAGCACAAATTCAGTATCTTAAAATCTCAACATTTTAAGGAAAACAAATAAGAATGTAAGAACATCCTGATATATAATATTTAAGAATTTTTATTAATACTACTATAACATACTTGGGCTCTATCCTCAGCTGCTGTGGGATAGACTATATATAATTAACAAGGGGTGAATGTGTGAACAAAGTTGGTCTCTCAACCCTAGGACTATATCCCAGCATAACTCAGAGCAGTTACAAGTTGCTCCAAGGTGTATCTAGATGTTTACACCTCTATGGAGCATCAGAAGCAGCTACCTGGCACCTAAGGGTTGTTCCTACTAAGGCAATGCTCAGGGATTTCTATTTGCTAGGTAACCAGCTGCTGTTACCAAAACAGGGTGACTTATACAGTTTTATCCAGTTAACTACATTAGCAAAAAGATAAAAGCATTATTATTCAATTTCAATGTACAACTGTTTGTAAGATTAATTTAGGCAAATGACTTCTTTAGACAGATATTTCAGCAGAATGCCTCCTTCAGTGTTCAGAGAAAAGAAAAGGAAAATTATGTGAGAAACTTTTTTACAAAATTCATTTTCAGTGATTTCCATCAGATTTAAGAGTGGACTTTTAAAGCAATCTTGTAAAAATAGTTTAGAATGAATAGGGGAGAGAAAGGAGACTTTTAGATTAGCATCTCTAATCTCAGGAGTTCAGGAAATCTGGGTTGTATATATTATTGAGGTAAATAAATCATTGCTCTTGGAGAAAGTGATCTGCTGGGGAAGAGTCAGCATGGTTTTTGTAAAGGGAAATCCTGCCTCACCAATCTGGTGGAGTTCTCTGAGGGTACTAACAAGCACGTGGAAAAGGAAGACCTGATTGACATACTATATTTGGCCTTTCAAAAACCTTTCAACAAGATCCCCATCAAAGGTTTTTAAAAACCTGTGTTGCCAAGGAATTGACGGGAAGGTTCTTTTGTGGACTGAAAGCTGGTTAAAAGATAGGAAGAAAAAGGTAGGGCTAAACGGCCACTTTCCAGAATGAAGGGAGATCAAAAGTGGGGTCCTGAAGGGATATATGCTGGGCCCGATTTTGTTCAACATTTTCATTAACAACCTGGAAAGGGGATACACAGTGAAATCTCCAAGTTGGCAGATGGTACCAAATTATTCTGAGTATCAAGTCCCAAGCTGTTGGAGAGGAGCTGCAAAAAGATCTCATCAATCCGAGTAAGTGGGCAAAAAATGGCAGATGAACTTCAATGTTGACAAGTGCAAAGTAATGCACCTGAAGAAAAATAACCTCAACTATATGTATACAATACTGGGTTCTGAACTATTATGACTCATGGAAGAAACCTTAGTGTCATTGTAGAAAGTTATCTAAAAAGGTCAGCTCAATGTACAGCAGTGATTAGAAATGCAGAAGGGAATAGAAAGCAAAATCCAAAACTTCATCATGCCATTATACAAATCATGGCGTGCCCACGTCTTGAATACTGTGTGCAATTCTGGTTTCTACATCTCTAAGAGGATGTTGTTGAATTGGAAAGGGTACAGAGAAGGGCAACTGAAAAGATCAAGGGTGTAGAACAGTTGCTGTATGAGGAGAGACTGAAAAAGCTAAGACTCTTCAGTTTGGAAAGGAGAAACCTGATAAGGGATATGATATAGATCTATAAAATCATCAAGTGAACAGGGAATTGTTATTAACTAAGTCCCAGAAAACTAGAACTAGGGGGCATCCATTAAAGTTAATAGGAGACAGGTTTAAAACTACAGAAAGTACTTTTTATGCAATGCACAGTTAACTTACGGAATTCATTGCCACAGGAGATGGTAGAGACAGATAACATAATCAGGTTAAAAAAAGGACTAGACAAATTCATGGATTATAGATCTATTAATGACTGTTGAACAGAACAGTTGGAGATTTTTCCTTTGGCACCTCTAAACCAATAATGGCAGATGCCTGAGAGGGTAATGCATATGGGACAGATCACTCTACATTTATCAAGTTCATTGCTCTTCATCTAGCATCTACTTCTGCTAATGTCAGAGAAGGATATTGGGCTAAGTGGATATTGGTCTAATCCAATGTGGCACTTTTTATATTCTTATGTTGAGTGGAAGCACAGATAATTTAGGGCTACCCTTCTTATTGGTGAAGTTCTTAGAACAACGTGGCTATACCCCATGGGTTCTATCCCTGTGATAAATCAAGATGTGTGACAAAATCTACCAGATACCTAGCCATGTTAGGTATCAGCAGAGGTTTACAGACTGGGTTGAAGAAGGACAGGGCGATGAATGTTACCTCCTCTGAAACATTTGGAAAGTCACCTCCTTGTCCTTGTGAAAGCTCTCCTTTATTATAATGCCCTTAAAATAGTTGACAGTAGATAGCAAGATGTTGAGCTGTGACTACTGATCAGCATGTTCTTCAATACTGCATCACCATTTCCTTCTACTCCAGCTTTCATATGATATATAAATTGAAAATTTTCTGAGAGGACATCCATCTTTTTGTTAATTTTGTACTCTAGCTAGCACAGTGGTTTCCTGATCCATGACTGGCACCCTCAGTTGCTATTAAAATACAAACAATAAATAACAATAAGAACAAGAGTACTTAATGTTTTTGAAGAGTTAAACAGATATAGTGAGGATGTGTTTACACTGAAGAATTTTGCAGCCCTGTAGCAGCATCAGTTGAAGTGCTAATGTTGACCATGTCCTGAGAATAAAGATAGGTGCAGCAGTAGGAGCCTTGACTACAGAAATTTTCCCACAGGCAATGGAATTATAATAAGACCAATGTCTTAAACAGGAGCCAATGTCAGCAGTGGCATTGGTGAAAAAGAAAACAACAATAGAGTAAAACAGTGAAAATGGATGCAAAGAATGTCGTCTGGTAAAAAAGGTGGCTCTAGGTGGAATAGTAACCACCAGAAGAGAGTAAGAAAATCTATACAGAGCAGCCTCTCCACCACCAATTCCTATTATGCATGCTCGTGTGTTGCTATTTACATCCCTTGCTGTAATGTAGCTCTTCGCTGCACCACTCAGCCAGTTTACCAAAATAAAATGTTGCTACCATTTATATCACCCTTGGATGGAGTGGGGACAGGGAAGAGAGGGCAGGAAGAAGAATGCAAATGCATGTCTGCGCACTCTGCAGAAAGTAGTAGTGCCATTTCCAGAACTGTACACGTTACCATTACCTGCTACCGTGCCATTCAGGATCACTTCTGCTGTGTGAGGTAACTATGCCCATGTGCTCAATAATGTATGAGTCTTGCAAATACCGTCAAGAGAAAGTAAATGTTAGGCCTGCAGCTCCTACAGAAATCTTTAACCATCACAGGCTAGAACCTCACTTGGTATTAACTAGCATAGCACTACTTACTTCAATGGACCTCTAAAAATGTACGCCACTAGTGATCTTGCCACATAGTACCCATGCAGTGGGTACTGAAAGTCCAGAGAGAAGATAAATTATATTCATCAGAAGCTCATGACAATATGCATTAATATTTCTAACCATCTGCTGGTTATTTCATCCAGGATATATTACACCATACCAGGGTTGGGCAATTATTTGGGCCAGAAGGACACTTAAGGAGTTTTGGTAAGCTATCACGGGCCACCCCACTTCACCATCATGCCCAACAGCACAGCCAAACTCCCTAAGTGGCCCTTCAGCCCAAATAATTGCTCACCCCTGATCTCAGGGTATAGAGGTGAGTGAACAAAGG